GCAATGTCCTAAACATGGCACATCAATTAGCCTGCAGAGGATAATTTCTCAATGTCTTTTCATGACACCAGGGTGTGACAAGCTCTATAATGATCTATCCAGCCTCCTACCACAATCCTCAAGTCTTTTTATAGTCACAGGTAATTGCACCATGGAGAGATTACATCACTTTGTCAGCAGGTTTGCAGCTGGCAGGAAGATGCTCTGCGGATGTTTTGGGAACTACATTCTCCTTTAGCAAACAATTTGCTGTGGTCCCTATTGATCCTTCCCAAGAACAGAACTACCTTGGCAAATCTTGTGCCTAAACTGAGATCCAAACAACCAAGGGCCATGGTAAAAGAGAACAGAAACCACCACAGAGGGAAGCACGGTAACTCCTGCATCCTTTACCCAGGACGGAAAATAGATGGTGTCTGTCTTCCTTTGTCAAAATAATCTTCTAAAGGTGGATCTGAGTCCTCCAATAGAGCAACACAAGGAATGGGCCTCAGAGGAGCCTGCAACTCAGCACAGGGAGTGTAGTTCCCAGCAGATCATGGGCAACAGAGTCAGACAGACTGGGCACAAATCCCAACCAGCGTCACCACCTACAACTGCCTGTCTCTGGGCAAGTTATCTAACCTCTCTGTGCCTCAGTTTCTCATTTTTAAAGTGGATACATGATCACCTAGCTCAAACGCAGTATGAGAGCTTTAAATGGAATGATAACACAGATCCTGACAAATAAATAATGCTCTATGTGCATCAGTTTCCTACCGGTCCTCTCCTCTCAGGTCAGTTAACATTATCTCTGACTCCAGGTCCCTCAGAGACAGGGAGGTGAGCCAGGGCCCCCTGCCAACATCTTTCTGCCATAGCAATGTTAAGGGCCACAGCACATCGTCTCCCTTCGAGCCTAGTTCTCAACATTTTCCATCTTCAATGAACAAAGAGCCTGGCTTTCTCTCTGCTATGTAGGAATACAGGTGTCTGCTTTCCCCGCTACTTTAAATTTGCTTTAGGTGCTTATGTGATGTTTAACATGGCCTAAAGTGTCATGGCAACATTTTAAGGGGAATAAAGTCAGAAACTAATAAAATACTGAGTTTTTTCAGTAAATATGCTAAGGTGGGAAGTGAAAATCAAAAGCTTTTTATATGAGTCAGCAAGCCAACTTGGTTGAGACCATCAAACTATGCTAACATGGAAGACAAAGGAGATTCCAGAAGTAATCAATCCTTCCTCAACTGGTCAAATGTGACACCTTATCCCCAACCCAAAAAGTGACTTTGCATCTTCAGTTTTGTTTTTGAAAGATAGTAAGTGATGCTATTTGCATAGTCTCCTGCCCAGCATGACTCAACAGTAGGTCACATACCATCTCTGTTGTTGTTAGTATCTGAGAATTACACTGCATATTTTATAGTCAAGTGCCTTCCAATCATTTTTATTAGTCTACATACCACCAAACTAGCATCCTTAAGTATCTTGTTTCTGTTTTATAGAAGAGACAAAGAGGTCAAGTAGATTTGCCTAAGGTCATACAGCAAGTTTCTGAAGATCACAGGTAAAGGGAAGGAATTGAGAAATCTGAGAGAGGCTGCACATAGCCGGGATCCTAATTCCTCTCTAGCCCCCCACCCCCACAAAGGCAAGTTGGGTAGAATGAGCATAGATCTTATTTTTAATTCTGATCTTCCCCTGCATGATGTTACCAGGTGTGAAGAGTAAGATAGGCTTCCTTTAGCCACTCCTAAACAGGAAACTCAATTTCCTCCATCTCTGCTAAAGGAATGACCTAGGTGGAATCTAGACCCAGTGCCACTCTTACACCTCCTTTATAACAACAAACCTCGAGCTATAGATAAATCAGAACGAAAAATTGAATCCCAAACATGACATAACTTTATTCCAGAACTTTCAACTGCCACTTTATAAATGATTCTCTTCTTCTACACCTGAGCAAGTATGACCAAGACTAGAGGGTGACTAGTATTTAGGACCAGAGACCATGCAGACAAATTGGCCCCCAGAATATGCACACTTACCTATGTCCAGTGGGGTTTTAGGTCATGAATGTGCATATACACACAAACATATTTAGGGTATACTAGAATCCACTGGGTAACAAGGCTGTGTAGTTTACAAGCACCTCATTTAAAATGCCTCTAGAATGAGTGTTCAGGGACAGCTACAGAAGGCAAGAAACGCAGGATGATGAAGACAGGACCTTTCCTTAACTAAATTGCCTTTCCCTGGCTTCAGAATACCAGAGAATCTTAGTTTCTCGGCAAGCTTGCTTGGCACATCACTCACGGCAGGCATGGCCATACAGGTGTGCTCTGGGTTTCAGGCCAAGGACTGGGCACCTCCTTCCCTCAGAAACCACTCAAGAGAGGGAAAAATATTGGCAGCAACTTGGTGCACTGGATCTAAGAAATGGCAAAACCCCTTTTCCCTTCATGTACCCTGCTGTGTGCCAATGCACATGTTTCATGGGGATTAGACAGACTCGGGGAGGTCGGCAGGGGAGGGAGGATTCTTTGCAGATGGGGGAATAGAGAACAACAGAGAAAACTTTCTTATCCTGGGCTAAGCTCACACTATAGATATATATTTTTCCACACTGTAGAATAATAATCCCTTTTATCCAGCCAGTCTGGAACCATCAGTCCCTGTAATTGATTTCAGACTTTGGATGGAGACTTGGGAAGGTATGGATAGTTGGAAAATGGGAGGAGGCAGGGGTGAAGCCCATAAAAAGGAAGGTGAGGTGGGGGTATGGCTTCATGAAGGAAACTAAAGACTTCAGACACAGAAGGCAGACCCTAATACTGCCAGGTAACAAAATGAGACAGCTTCCCCAACGAAGTCTTGGAAGAGGATGGTTGTGGTAGTGTACCAGGCACTAGGCCAAGTTCTGGTCCTGGCCCTAAGACCCTGGGCAAATGTACAACCTCTAAAGTCCTTCCTAGCTCTGACCAGTTCTAGCTTCCTTCCTGCTCTGACAGTCATTCCATTCATGCACATACTTATTAAGCACTATTTGTTCTGGGCTAGGGTAGGATGGCAAATCTCTTCTATGAAGGGCAAAATATTTTAAAGTCTAAATATTTTAGGCTTTGGGGGCCACAGTCTATGTGACAACTATTCAACTCTGCCACTGTAGCACAAAAGCAGCCGTAGACAATATATACACAAATGAACACTGCTATGTTCCAATAAAATTTTATTTATGGATACTGAAATATGAGTTTCATATAATTTTTACATATCGTAAAATATTATTCTTTTGATTTTTTTCAACTAGTTAAAAATATAAAAACCATTCTTGGCTCACAGGCTATAGAAAAAGAAGACAGAAGGTAGGATTTGGCCTGTGGACCAGTTTGCCAACTTCCACTTGAGATACAGTACTGAACAAGAGAGGGTCTCCACATTCTATGGTTCTATGACTACCATTCTCGAGGCCTCCTCTGGTTTTGGAATGGCACTATGAATGTAAGCCATGATTCATTTTGTTGCACATTGGTGTAGGTTGGCCTTCTGTTCCTTTGAAACCTCACATAACCATGATGTTCACATGGTGGGGCACCAATCTTGGTTGTACCAGGGGCTCCCATAGACAATGAGATCTCAGGTTTATGGGAAGGTTTCGGTTAAGTGTCAGAATGAGATGACTGAGAGATGGCAGCAGCAGCAGAAATCTGCTGTGGTGAGGAAAGCTATGAATTAGTAATCGTTTCTCCCAAAAATTCAGAAGAAAAAAATAAGATTAAATGAGATTGCACCATTATCTGTATGTGTTTAGTAAGTGGGTGGTGAAAGTTGATAGAAAGGAAATGAATGGGATAACACTGAGCTATAGAGACCCTTAAAGCCACACTGCATCACACCAGCCTTCCTCCAAGACCCCTTCCAGAATCTAGCTAAGATCCCTCTCCAGAGAACGCTGGCCAAAGAAAACTGCTATATACATGTACCTAATGAACTCTGATAGGGGCACCACTACTGGTGAGCTAAATCATAATTAATTGAGACCCCGTTTACAGATACAGGGGCAGGGTTCTGTAGCATCACCCAGAGGCCTACAATACACACCCAAATACGCCCTTTCGAAAAAGGATACCAGGTGTAGAAGACCACATGAAGAGAACCTAGAAGAGTCTTCAGAGCACCGCTGAAGGCAACAATGACCATACAAACCCTAAAGGGTTCACTGCTGCATTTGTAGCCCATTAGGACTCTTCTAGCTTACAATCTTCAACCAGAAAGTCCTTAGAATCATGAAAGTATAGACTGAGGGAGCTAGATGTGACCTTAAAGCTTATCCAGGTCAATCCCTTCATTTGACAGATACAGAAACTGAGCCACAGAATGGTTAAGTGGCTTGTCCAAGATCACAAAGTTTGTAGTGTCAATGACTAGGTAGTGTTTCATTAAATTACAATACCTCAACTCTGTACTCATTTTGAGAAAACAACAACAACAAAATCCCAGAAAGACAAGAAACAAATAATAAAGAGCTAACAATCAGTAAGTGCTTACTGTGTTATCTCAATCTTCACAACCAGCTTATGAAATAGGTACTATTATTTTGCCATTCTGCAGCTGAGGAAACTGAGGTTTACAGAAATAAAGAGACTTGCTCAGAGTCACAGAGCCAGCAAACAGTAGGACGGGTTCTGAACACAGGCAGTCTGGTTCCAAAGCCTGTACCCTTACCTGCACATCACCGTCTGAATTCCACACCTCCATCCTGCTGATAACTACAGCTGGGGAGAGGGGTGATCATGTCATCACCAGCAGCTTCCTACACAATCGTCCTCCATCTGGCTCATTAAGCCCCTTGGTGCCACACCAGCAGTACTGACTCCCTGCTATACCACAGCACAAAAGCCCCCAACCCTGCTCTCCCTTATAAATACCTGACAGAAAATTCCCTATCCCAGCTTTCAGGAGAAACAAAGGTATTGTGTCTTTTCCCTCCCACAGACAGAAGGCAGGCCATGACTCACCTGAGGCAAGTCCGTCTCCAAGGAGGGTGCTAAGGATCACCAGTGGAAGGAACACTCCATGTCCCACAGAGGCCACGGCAGATGCTGAGGTGCTCTTTGGTGCTATCCTGCCATGGCACATCTTTTATCCGTCCAAGTTATTTTAAAAAGAAAAAAATTAAAATCCAGAAGAATTCCAAAGTCAGCCAGGTGTAGATTCACCTATAGAAAACAGACGAAAAACAAAGACATAAGTGAAGTGAAAACTTTATCCATATGTTAGTCATAAACAGGCACTTTGGTAAAGAAGCCACAATCACATACAAAGTTGAAAAAATTCTAGCAACTGAATCCCTCCCTTCAGAAAAAAAGACAAACACATAAGTGGCTTTTCAACTCCTTCCTGGGAAAATACCAAGGCCTCCAGCAAACTGCCTTCAGTGTCAGTACCTAGGAGCCAGATCCTTGCGATAGGACAAAGAGACAAGCACCGGCTCACCTGGAGATGTGTCAGTCACAGCAAAGCTTTCAGAGACTGCCCTGGCTCTTCCTGGCTGCCTGCCTTGGAGGCTCCAGCAGAGAGGAGGAGAGAGGGAGCAGTTGACACAGAGCTGCTACACCAGTGTCTGGCTTTGCCTTTGTCACCTGGACTCAGAGTAAGTCCAACTTAACCGAAAGAAAAGAGAGAGAGAGAGAGAGAGAGAGAGAGAGAGAGAATGCGTGTCTTAAAGGGAGAACTACACCGCCTAGAGAAGGAATGCAGCAGTGTGAGCCAAGGGCCCCCAGCTTGGCCTGCTCAACTGCCTGAGGCTGGATGAGCCCGAGGATCTGACTCTGACTTAACAGCTCACCCAATACACCTGCGATCCCAGAAGCCATACTTGTTGTCTGTCCCTGACAATGCGTGGGGGAGGATGGCCACAATTGTTAATTGGCCCCACCACCCACTCTAGTTCAGACAGAGACTTCAGAAGAGCACAAACCAGTATCTTAGAAATAAAATTAAAAAAACAGAGGTCAAGACTTTTAAGAAAGTTTTTCTACATGCCTTCAGGGAAGCAGTTGGACTGATAATACATTATGATATATACATATTATATTTTACTTATTAACTCATTTGATTTCATTTATCCTAGTTTGTAACAGGTATTCCAAATAATAAGATTACACTTCCTTTTTTATTTTAATTCCATAATACCTCCATCTCCATTAAGAAGACCTTACGTAAATAGATAGGGGAGCCTGCCATCTACAACCCTAAAAAAGGATGCACCTGAGACTCTGTCAGGGATATTATCCAGACCTGACTTTAATCCATGTCTGAAGCCTTGACTCAGGCCTATGCTCCCCTTAAAATAAGAGTTATTGCAGCCCCGGCCGGATGGCTAGGTTGATTGGAGCATTACCCCATACACCAAAAAAGGTTGTAGTTTGATTCCTGGTCAGGGCACATACCTAGGTTGTTGGTTCGATCCCCAGTCGGGGCACATATGGGAGGCAACTGATCAATGTTTCTTTCTCACATCCATATTCTCCCCTTCCCTCTCTCTAAACATATCCTCGGGTAAGGATTTTTGAAAAAAGAGTGTTACTGCAAACAGCAATGAGTTGTCTCAGCCCAAAGGAAAAGCATGTCACAGTCTTTAATGAGTATGAGCTAGGGGTTCAGGAACAGAGCTAACCACTGGGTCCTTACCCACTACCCACAAATATTTGTAACTACAGTCTTCTACCCCCAGCTTTTACCCAGACTCCAACTTAAGTCTTTACATTTGTAGAACAGGATGGTTCATGGAGAGCACCAGGGGTGAAGTCTGTGAGTGACACAAAACTGTGTGTATGTAAACGTGTGGAATGTGTATATATTTATGTGGCTAAGAACCAAAGTCAGAATGCCAGAATTCAAATGTTTCTTCTATTATGGCCAAATTACTCTCTCAGCCTGTTTCCTCATCTGTAAAATGGAGACAGTAACCATACTGTCTTCATAGGGTCAATGTAAGGATTAGGATCAAAGTACTTGACACAGTGTCTGAACTTTGCAAGTTCTCAGTAAACACTGCCTGCTGTTGCTGTTGTAAGTAATAATAAGATTTGAGCTGCAGGACCTTGGAGGTCATCAGGCTTCATCCTCTCATTTGACAATGCCAAACCAAGGTCTGAAAAGGTTAAAGGACATGTTCAGGACCACCAGCTAGTTAGCAATGGGCCCTTTGGTGCTGCTGTTTTACATACAGCCACAGCTGTATGGTGACCTTACCAGGCAGTCACCGTTCCCTTAAGGCAACAATCAGTGGATCATCGAGAATGACAACTGAGAATGACATCACAGCATGTGCACAACAAATATTTTTGCAGTGAATGAATGAGGCCAGATTAGAGGGGTGCTTAGGTGTTCTTACAAGAGTAGAAATCATCAGGAAAGGCTACCCAGAAGAGGTGATGCTAAGCTCACTGCAAAAGGATGTGTCCAATGAAAAGGAAAAAAAGGAGATACTGAATACAGGGGGATCAAAGTAATGGAAGCACAGCACCCCAGCAGAGGCTAGAGGCGGAGGCTAGGCAAAGGAGTTCAAACTGTATCCTGAAACCATATGGAGTTTATAAACATTAGAAACAGGAAGTTACACCAAATTCATTTAGAAAGCTCACTCTGGCAGGGATTTTAGAAGACCGGGGGAGAGTGAAATGCTAAGTGGTAAAGAATCTTAAATTTAGTACTTTATAATTAATGTAGAGCTCTTTGACAATATCTGTCAAAATGCACATATTCTCTGACCTATCAATACGACTTCTAGAATCTGTCCTCAGAAATCACATGTGTACAATGACATATATGCAGGATATTCAACACATTATTTGTACTGGCAAAAGGTTGAAGGGGAACTAGTTAAATAAGCTGCCACACCCCCCTCCAATAGAATACTATGCAGCAGCTTAAAAAGAACTGCGGCCCTAGCCAGTCTGACACTGTGATTAGAGCATCAGCCTGTGGACTGAAGGGTCCCCAGTTCAATTCCGACCAAGGGCACGTACCTCAGTTGCAGGCTCGATCCCTGGCAACTAATCGATGTTTCTCTTTCTCTCTCTCCCCCTGCCACTCTCTCCAAAAAGCAATAGAAAAAGTGTCCTAAGGTGATAAAAAAAAAAAAAAAAAAAAAAAAAA